TGCGTATGTGTGCACATGACGTTCAAAACCAGTCAGAGAAGGCATACAGAGAGTTCGAGCCATTGTTTACACCCTAAATTATGTTTGTGTATGCATGTGTGTGTGCGTGTGTGCGTGTGACGCATCACTTACGAGACACTGATCGCAATTTGGTCCTCCAACAAATCGTTTGCATGTGCACAGACCGGTATACGGATCACAACCGCCGTTGTCCAACGTACCCATCATGTTGCACGAGCAGGCTGCATGTGTGTGAGTGCGCGCGTTTGCAGGGAACACCAAGAGAAATAGAGGGGTGAAGTGTATGTGGAAGAAAACAAAGACCTAATCAAATGTGAACGTCTTTGGACAGAACAAGTCTAATCTGTTTAAACGTAATATCATAACCAAATCAGCCTTTAGCATGCATTGTACACATTGGGCACTGCTAATTAGGAAAGCGAGGGCTTAAAATGGCACACACGGACTTCGTCAGCCAAAAAAATAAATGCGATCTGGAGAAAACGGAAGATACATTTAAAAATGGCATCACCAACACGACATTGTAATATGCTAGCCACAGTGAAAGCGGTGGGAATTGGTCTGAAACCCCCTCCCCTTCTGTGTGTTCAAAAACAGTTTGTGCCGGCGCTTAGGCTTCCACATACCCCATGTTCCGAGTAGTCTCAACCATCAGCCAAACGAACAAACAACTATGTGATCATTGCTAATCTCACATTCGGTTGGAAGATGACTTTTGTCCCTTTTATCTTATCCCCTTATTGAGTACCTAATGATACAGTTTTCAAGAAGAGGGATGCGGCTAATCGAAAGCCTGTCAAGTACTCAAGTGGTAAGAATTTCCTTTTCCGAGGAAGAATTTCATAGGCGACCAAAAGACAGCAGTCAAAACCGGCCCCACGAAAGTGCATTGTTGATGTTTGTAAAAACTGAAACTGAAACTCATTGTGACGTACTGGCGCGATTAGAAACCACAGAAAATAACCCTTGATTAATAAAACTGGCCCTTATTCAGAAATATATACACACATATAATATAATATTAATATATATAATAATAATACAATATACACAGCACGTAGTGTCGAATACGTCTTGAATTATGCAGATGCACAGTTGTGCCCTGTGCCAAGTGATTACTGCACTCCGCTGTAATTAGGAAAAAGACATCGCACTGTGAATTGTGCGAACAGAGTGTGATGATCTCAAAAAGCAAAATCGACTAATGGAATAATATCTTTGTTGATTAATCGGGTGATTGCTGGATATGTGAAATAAACGCCATTATATGTAATAATTTAATGCCAGAGCCCATCAATCTGTTGGGCACTGGCCCCTCATTTCTCGATATATGACTGACCAACCCTACCTTGAACTTGATGAGCGTTTTGTTCCCCTATTTCTGCAAGGCAATTGGGTGTGATCAGCTCACGATGTACAAGAAGTAAGCACAAAGGATTTCCATATTAGACTAACGACGTCGTAGGCATGGAATGAAAACGATATCAGTGTTTAATTCTACAAACAAGCGTGTATCAACAATGCAGGTTAGACCATTGGATGTGTTGTGCCTCGCAAGACAGGAGCAGTTTCCTGGTGGAAATCGGCAACTTTGAGAATGAGCATGAAGTGTCACGCATTTTAGAGCGTGTTAAATAGTACATCTAGGTTCTCCGAAGGTGACAAATATTCGGGTCACTCAGGACTTACGTTCACATCCTTCTGGATTGTTAGCTTGGAAATTCCAATGACCAACTTTGCATCTATCACATTTCTCTCCACCCACATTCTTTTTGCACAAACATCGTCCGGCGACCAGGTTTTGTTCCGGAATAGTGTACTGTTGACAGAATCCACCATAGAGTGTTCCATCTGTATGACAGTTGCAAGCTAGAAAACGGAACAATAAACAGCACCATAGTTTTATTGATTCCGTTCTCGAATTGTTCAAATGAGAAAAGATGAATTGATCAATGCAATTAGGACAAAGGTGAAACATGAACCAAGTTGATTGTATGATCTAGCTCAATTTAGATGGGTAACTCGTCCATATCGTCCACGCTACCTCAGAATCATAGTAACACAGAGTAAGATGATGTATTGCAGTCCTTGACCAAATTTTGAAAAGTTGAAACAATCTTTTTTTGTTTTGAGAGAACTTTGCACGCCTTTTATTAATCCTGATGCAATGTGTGAAAACATGTTATCAACGTAAATAGAGGATGTAATCCATTTTATTTACCACTGATTATCAGCATCATCACAGTCGCACATATACAGTTAGCCATTTTTATGTTTACAGTTGTAAACCGGCTCTCATTGACTATTAGATGGATGAATTAGATACATGCGTCCGACCACCAAAGAAAACAGAATAAATAAACCAACAATGTAGATGAATTATACTTCTGGTGAACTGCTTCCTGATATACGCTTCCCTCGTGGCCTATGCAGACACTATTCACTCACGTTGACACGTGCTCGGATGGTCAATCGGATAACTTGGATGACGATAGAAATTTGGCTGACAAAATTCACAATTTGGTCCCTCGGTGTTATGCTCACAACCGTGACAATTTCCTCCGGAAACGTTCCCAGATTTAATGTACAACACGGGATTGAAGTAGCAGGCACTTGCATGATTGTTGCAGTTGCACCCTGTTTATTTGTGGAAAGAAGAGAGAGAAAGAGAAAATGTGGGCCGATATTACGTAAACAAAGTTGACCGTTTTATTCAAGTATCAATATGGTGACAGATTTGGAATCAGAAGTAATTCAGCACTTAGTTTAAAAAAAGTACTTTGTTAGATGCCAAGGAGAAATAATGATTTAAGTGCTCGCAGGATTATAGGACTAATTAGTAGACTTCATTGAAACAAAACTGAAGATAACAATGGAAGCTGAAATAATTCATTCAACAGAGCTGAGGCCGTGCACATATGAATTTTAGCAATAGCTGAAGCTTTTTTATTATACACTTTGGTGGGATGAACAGTAAAGGGGCAAAGCCCAAAAGTCACGAGGACCTGCTGTTAAGTAATGACAACCGGCAACCTAAGCCCCGCGGGACTTGGAATGGCGAACCACATTAGGCCCCGATAGGTTAGACGTGGTATTGAACCGGACGACAGCAAAGCTGCCTACCGCGAAATTTAGGTGGCGGTGGCGGGGCTCGAACCTCAAACCATTGGGTCCAAAGTACGCAGGTGATAGTGACTAAACCACTGCTCCACCAACCCGCGCGCTCCGTCTACAAAGAGTTTGGTCAAAACACATCAAATGCCTTAGTATACTGTGAACGGAACAATGGGTCAACAGGACCCCGAAAAGAGGAAGCATGATTGAGAATAAAAAAAGCAGTTGTGTAGTATTCACACATTTCGTCTGTTCACGTAATACAACAAAGTGTTTTCTCTTGTTGTTGTGGAAGTATAAACATTTGAAATCAATAATTCAACAGAAGGTGAATCAGAACGCTTAAGAATACTAGCCATAATCGTTTTCGATGTTCCATTAGTTCCAAACCCACTGTATACAGAAAAATTGCACATAGCTCACTTTCACAAGCATTTGCAGAATCCCGTGTGGCTGGTCTCCACGGTTTATTCCAGTAGAAATCGGCACACGTTTCACAATTCTCACCGGCGGTATTGTGAGTGCATTCACAAACACCGTAAACCTGTCAATCAAGTCGGGTTTGAGTTGAGAGGAAAAATCAATTTCATTCAAGCACAAAAAGAGCCGTGATAAATTATTGCGAACGGTGATTCGGTGAAAATATGTATATGCATCCATGTAACAATCAGCTTCTTCGGAGTGTGCATATCTTCCGACAAACCTATGCAAATGCCGGTAGATATTCTGTTTGAATCATGTTAAGCTAGTTACTCTGTGACTTATAGTGTCGAATCAACAAATGCCCATGATAGTAGCAACAAAATACTGTGTGATGAAGAAAGGAACATTTTCATTCTCATTATTTCCCCAGCTAGGTGGACAAGATGTTCAACTTGAGGTCACCGTCAGCCTTCGGATATTCCTTGCCGTAAGTTAATCAGAAATTAAGTAGCAGTTAAACAATGTGATTTTCCCGACGAACTAGGCCCAGAGTTGCATTACTGTCGCAGGGGGCTCGACTCGGTGACAAAGAATTTAGCTACAATCAGTATTGCTACAGGTTGTGTGATAAGTGATCGCATTTTATCGTTCGCCGTCGCAACTCTGCTTTCCGTTCCACTTTGTTCATTGGTTAATTGTCCTCTGTTCGCTGCGCTTTCAGTGGAATGGAAAGTAACAACAAAGATTGGTTAACTTTTTGTGGTGCTGTCCCACGTTTTGTGGTGAACTGCGTTTCCCCTCATCCCAGTAGAGGCAATCAGCCAATCATAAACCGTGGCATGTGCCAGATTGTCAATGGGACTCGGGACACTGTACTGTAATCCTTGTTGATCTC